AGTAATGCCACCCGTATTGTTTGATCAGGGGACCTGCAGTGGGAAAAGATGGGTCATGACCAAATGAACAAGCATTCAGAAAGGATAATCTCATAAATTTTTTAAATCAAATAGCTAGTGATGCTACATTGCAAATTTGGGACAATCTCTCCTGTTCCCTTGTTTATGCGCACAGCCCACAACTAATTAACTGTTCCCGTATCTAGTCCATTTGAAAGTTCAATGTGTTTTTCAGCAAGATGCCAATTTCATTCTCCATAGATAGCTTTCTTACATTTTTTTTTCCTTTATGGGCAATAGATGCTTTCATCACTAATCAGACTTGTTCACGTGTTTCAGAAATGCCGTTCGGCACACAGGAGGTGGAGAACTAAATGCAACTTCTTTTATTCCTCTTTCCCTTCATCCCCATATTTTATTCTGATTTTTTATGGTAGGTATATATATTTATCTTTTACTAAAAAAAATCAAATAATTTTTCAAAAAGAAACATTTTAACTTGTTAAAAATATACCCAGAAAGCACATAAATTTCACATGACCATAATTCAACTTGAAGATTTTCAGCTATGCATTACATAACATGTGGTTGGATCATATAGCTATATTGCGATTCATAGTGGCTTCAGAAATTCAAGCAGTCAACAAGAGTTCAGGCATACACACAAAAAAAATAAAATTAAAAATAAAAGTCCCTTTTGAATCCATGGATAATCGAAATTATAACACTGCAAGTACAGATGTCTCGTGCTTAAGATTCATGCACACAGCTCAAAACAAGAAGCTTCAGTTCAATCATTTGCCCCATAATAAATGTCACAGAAAAAGCACATTAATGATGAAACCGAGAATTAAATGTGAACGCTCCTAAAATCAAAATAATGCTATCTAGCATTAGTGAAACTACAATGTTATGAAGAGGATGAAGAGGATCATTGGAAATGGCTGCAAAAGAAGAAGAGAAGCAGACGCAAACCAAGAGGGAAAGAAGAAGAAAAGGAATAACGGTCACAACCAAAATTCAAATGGAAAACGGCGTCGTTTCGAGTTAGGGATTAAAGTGTCGTTTTGAATAGTTAGTGGTGTCGTTTTGATTTGTAATCAATTTCAAATATCAGTCATGTTTTCCTTCTCTCATTCACGTTTTTCCTTTTTGCTGGTTAGTTATATAGTTGTAATGTGGGATTAGAAGGTGTGATGTGAATTGGAATTCTTCCTCTCCAAGTCTTCTTCTACTTCCTTCTCTTTCTCCCTCCATCTCTCTGTAATTTCTTCTACTGTTAACATTTTCTTCAGAATTAATAAAATTGCAATTGTCATTTGAGTTTGATTGATTCAGTCAAATGAGTAATTGGTGTGGTGTTTAGTATCAACCATTACATACAACACTAGTCTAAGTGGCGCTATGTGATAGACTCAGTGAAAGGTACTATTAAGTGAAACATTTAGCACCTTTTCATTTAATGCCTAATTAGTGTCACCTAGACTCGTGTTTTTAACTTTAGCTATGCTAAATATCAAGAGGCAGTCTATCTTATCATTTTTAATTCTCAAAAATTCCCATTTTACCAAACTTTCTTTCAATTTACAATGGACATCATTCACAGCTCAACAGTCAAATTAAGGATTACACAATTGAAAGAGTATGAAAAGATGCAATGGTCTCATTATGTAACAAATTCAATTCGGAAAATAAAATTCTTAACAAAAATCCGAACTTTCAACTTATCCACATTAAAGAAAATAGGAAATCGGAAATATTGAAGCACTAAGGGTCGGTTCTCTTTGATGTTTTCAAGTCATTTTCAGTTTTTGAAAACACTAAAAACACGTTTACTTACCTATTTTCAAAACGAATTTCCAAAAACGAATTTAAAATTTACAAAGAAAACGAAAAACTCCAAAAATGTCGTTTTATCTGTTTTTGGTTAAAACCGAGCCAAAACTTCATTTTTTTTATTTTTAAAAACAAATTTTCAAAATTACAAAAAGAACACGTTTTCAGCAATCTCAAAATGGACACTCAAAACGCAAAATACAAAATGATTTCAAAACTCAAAACTAAAAACTAAAGCACAGAGAGAATATCCCCTTAATTTCCGTAGCATGCAATTACACGTGGAAGCCAATTGGGTTAGTATAAAAACATCACAGATATTCACGGAGTAAAATTGCTGCGGCATCAGATGAATTTTGAAATTCCAGGTTTAATCAAATTGGGCGAAATCAGAATAGGACACGAATTCTGATTAAATGCATGCTGTATTTTCGATTGAAATTAATAATTAGTTAAAAATTAAAATTTTAAATTCAGTGACTTACCAAAAATATAAATACGGCCAAAACTGAAAGCGGGATAAACAGGAGCCAATCGAAACAGAAAAAGAAAAAAAAATTAAAATAAAAAATCCAACAGAATCGAGCTGTGAGCTTGAGATAATGTCAAAGCTTCATCGGCGAAGACAGGTCTCGGCGAAGAGCGGCGATTCGGGGAAGAAAGGGACCGATTTAGATATGGGTATTTTATTTTAGTTTTTTTTATTGCCTCTGAATTAGGACAATGATTTTCAATTTGACCCTCGTGGAATTAATAATCTATCAATTGAGGCCTTGAGATTAAGCAAAGCAGCATTATTAAAGTAAATTAAACTCGCGTCAATTCGTTAGAACATGAATCCGAATGGTGTTAAATATTCATTGCAACATCACATAAATTCATCAAACCTCGTACACGATCTCACTATGAGATTAATGAGATGAATATTTATTAGGCATATCAATATGATAAGTTCACGTAATCATGTGTATTTAGCGATTGTTTATTTTCACGTTATTTGAATATATTTTTCTATTTGTCCTAAATAAATTGAGTTAATCTATAAATAATCATTGAAGTTTGTGAAATTTTCAAATTGATCCTTAAAGTAGATTTCTTTTGAAGTCATAAAATTAAGGAAAAATTGTAATCACGGTACCAAATCTTTCATTTAATAAGAGACTGTGTCCAAAATTTCCATTTGTACCACCGTGAGTACCAAACCTTCAAAAAATTCACAATTCAAGTCCAAAATGTCGATTTCCCTAATCATTATAGAACCTTTGTGAATATTATTAAATCTCGGCCTGAAGAAAAGAAAATCCACTCTATTCGACAGCTCCTCCCCTTCCTCCCTTTGCTCCTGACTTCAGCAATGTTGATTTTTTTTTTTAAAGAGAATAGGAGAACGAGTGGTTACAATTAATGAAAATGAAAGCTGACTATGATTTAATCCGTGCAATTTAGAAAGATTACAATGATGAGGAGGTCGGATTTTAGTGACATTTGTGCAGTATTCATTTGTGAATATATGTAGCTTCAACAAGCAGCAACTCAGATACCAATGCAGACAACCTATCAACAATACTCGACCTTCTGCGTCCAATTGCAAGCCGTTTGTCTTCCTACAATTGTTTGTTTGACGGAGCGCAAGGGAAGACATCGGTAGTGGTGGTGAAACCAGATCGAACAATAGAAAATGCGTCAATAATTGTTGTTTTTAACTCTGAAAAACTAGACAAGCAAAGTTAATTTTACGAATTATATTAAAGTTCGTGTATAATTTCAAATTGTTCCTTAAAAAATCACCATCACTAGCTCTATACTAGATGACCGTCATCGTCATAATGGAGAAGTAGCAAAACGAAAAGTTGCTTACCTCATTTTGCCATCTGATCCCCCATTATCCACCTGCATTAACACCTTGAAGGAAGCAGTGGCCAAAACTATGTCATCCATATATTAAACATGAACTCCCATTATCCCCCTAATGACCTAAAAGGTCCCGTTAATTGCTCACTGTGATGATGGGATTTCCAACATTTCAGTTATAGCACACATGTTCCCAACATATGAAAATCATGCGCAAAGGAGCCATGATGTCAGTAGATCTTGGTTGTGGATGCCAAATAGATCAATTGGTATAATATTTGTGTCCATGTTAGTAGTGTGGTAGGTTGTGGTATATGATAGTGGTGATTTTTCAAATGTTATTTGGTGTTTGCGTTGTTAGCAGATGAAAACGATAGCGATGATCCACGACCACGAGTTAGGGTTCAAGTTATGGAAAAGATACAGGTTTGTTCTTTCTTTCCATTATTCATATTAGGGATATAACTATCATTTTATGATAGCCCTCAACACTGTTGAGCAATTGGGACAGAGATGCACTATTTGTAACGGGGGGTATACAACCCCCTTGACCGGCCCCCTCACAACTGGGCCCCCCTATTGTGAGGGGGCTGTCAGGCGGGTTGTATACTCCCCCGGTACAAGAAGAATTTTTCTTTGGGACATGATCCTCATGCCGACTAATATTTTTATATTTTATTCTATTTCTATTTAGGGAAGACAACATGGCAATGTGTCAAACAGGGCTAGAGTTTGATATAAATTTCCATTAATCATCTTACTTTAATTAATTTTTTATTTTTTTGTTACAATGTAAATAGAAAAATATAATAAAATAAGAAGTTGCATGGTGGTTCGGTGGGACAATGCCGACTGAGTCTTGAGCGAAGAATTTTTTCATCCCTAATTTTATTTTATATATAAGAATTTAAATCGTATTTAAAAATTAAATAAATAAATGTCAGCCCTCCCATTTCCCTCTATATATAAAATTTGAGTTTCTCTTAAACATCATACAGGCAAATTATGAGTTATGATGCACGCATAGGTTATAGGTTGGACTTTTACGTCATAAATAGAAGGTTGAGGACTTTATTGTCATGGTGATAAAGATAGGGGACTCAGATGGAACTTACCTAAAAGTCTATGCTCTTAACGGGATGTTTTTCCCCCGTCCTAACTCCTGAACCTACTCGACGTTTCTTCAAAAATCACATTTCAACTTCGAATTAGGCTTCTCTTCCTCCTCACTACATAATATGAAAATTTTCTAATACTAATTTTTCGATTCATTCGATTTGAATTGGATTGAATCTGATCTTGAATAATCATTTATGAGGAAAAGAGAGAGAGAGAATCCGTGTGGGGTTTGTGGGCATTACCACAAGTACGAGGAAGGTGAGGTCTGCGGCATCTGCGGCCACCGCATGCCAGCCGTATCCGATAATTCTGACGCTTCTTCGAACCACGTTAGCGCCTTCCCCTCCGAGATCCTGCCGGAGTTCCTCTACTTGGGCAGCTACGATAACGCTTCCCGCGCCGAGCTTCTCAAGACACAGGGTATCTCGCGTGTCCTCAATGTAATCTCCCTCTCTCTCTACATCATTGTTGTTTACTTGGGTTAATTTTATTGAGTTGATCTAGGTCAATCTTCAATCATGGTTAATTTTATTACTTGTTAGATTCATAAGGGAAAATGGTATTGTGACGTTAGTTATATTGACAGCATCATGGAGATGTATGCTTTTCGAGGTGAAAGGCCAAGATGAAGCATTTTAGGCTAAATTTAGTAAGAATTCTGAGGAAAAGGGAAAAAAATGTTTTAACTATTCAAAGTTATGATTTGCAGTATTCGTCAGTATTATTCAACTATTTGTGCATCGGTTTGCTGTCCATCTCAATCATTCAAGGGAACATATGTAGAATTGGTGCTTTGTCATTTTACACTTTTGATATGAGTTGCCAATATTAGTAACTTAACCTTTCTATCTTGCATTTACCGCCTGTTTGGTGCAACTCAGTTGATCATCGCATAATGACACCTTCGTGTATTTATATTGGCAAAACTTTACCTATTTGCAGACGGTTCCTGCTTGTCAAAATCTGTACAAGAACTCATTTATCTACCACTGCCTTCAAGATGACCAAAAATTGCCATTTGATGATGCGATCAAGTTTCTCGGTGAGTCTTTTTCCCCCTTACATTCTAGAATCTGACAGCAAATTTCTCTTCTTTCTTTAGAAGTTTATGCTACAGCTTCCTGTGGCATTTAATATACACGCACTTCATTCATGACTATATAAAGGGAGACTATGCAGTCTTAATTAATACTCTTCTTTCTGTGCATCTTCCTTTAATGCTCTTAAGTTATCTTACTCTTGGTTTAAGTTTCTGTTGGTAAGCAGCATAAATCCTTAATTGAATTGATTTTTTTGTTAAGTGAAGTTGTGTATCAGTGTTGTTGGGGACTATGCTTTCTCAGTATTCAAAGAGATAAAATGAGAAGAATGTAAGAATGAATATTAGAAAGCAATATCAAATAAGTTCCTTTAATAAATAGATCAATATAAATACTGAACTGAGAACGATATAACGAATAAAATAACATAAAATATAGTACTTATATTTCAAAATGTTTCCAAACTAATGTTTGCTTATCGCATTTCAAAATACCCTTCATGACAACGGTACTATATTTCATTGGAGAAATGGAAAATCTTTCCCAAAATTCCATCATGTCCATACTGACGTCCATGTCCCTGGTCACGCCTTCCCCTTTTACCCCTGCAGCCATCCCTGTCCTTTGAACTGCTGCCCGTCCCCATACCCTGTTCATGACTCCATCATACACCTGATTCTCTCTGTACTGAGATCCCTCTCATCTTTTCTATTAAATCGTTAATTGCATTTGAAGTGTTAAGTCTTATTATTATTATTTTTTTTTTTCAAAGAACATCCTATATAATGACTATCATGTGGTATGTGAACAGTGGATACGATCATTAATTTATTCCAAGGCTGTTTCCGCAATGACATTTTGATGACATTAATGACAATATGGCTGACGGTGGACATAATTAGCTGCTTCATGAATATTGCATAGTTTGATTTGATTTATTTAGTTTGAGGCTTATTTTGCTGATAATATTTATGCAGAACAATGTGAAAAAGACAGGGCACGGGTTCTTGTTCATTGCATGTCAGGGAAAAACAGGTGAAAAGTTTTACCACCAATTGAAGCTCTTGTGTCTTATTTCTTTTACCTTTTGTTAAAAAAAAATTAAAATAAAAATTGATTGTAATTGTTCTTTTCGAGGGGATTTCAAAGTGAGAAGTGGATAGGGGAGTGTTTTGGGTGTTGTTTGTTTGTTTATTCTTAATCTACTGTAATTAACACGCTAACATATGATTTCTACCTGATAAGGTGAAGGACCATGGTAATCAATGATTTAATGACCTTCCAGTACAAAAAATGCTTTTTAATTATGAGGACTCATTGTTCTTTTTGAGGGGATTTTGAAGTGAGAAGTTGATAGGGAAATGTTTTGGGTCTTGTTGTTTGTTTGTAGTCTTAATCTACTGTAATTAGCATGCTAACATATGGTTTCTACCTAATAAGGTGAAGGACCTTGGTAGTCAATGATTTAATGATCATCAAGTACAAATAGGCCTTTTCAATTATGAGCACTCTTCTTGGATTCACAATATTTTCTTTGAACATCGATCGTAAAACTTTCTATAACAAATAAACTCATCCAAAGTGTGTTTATGCTGTTTTGAAAGGTCGCCAGCAATGGTTATGGCTTACTTGATGAAAAGCAAAGGTTGGAAACTTGCACAAAGTTACCAGTGGGTGAAAGAGCGGAGACCATCAGTTGAACTAACTCAAGGTTCGTTCCAACTTTGTATTGTTAATTTATATCATTAACTGGCTGCATGTGTTTTGATTATCTGTTGCTAAAATTTTATGTCAAACAAGAATATTACAGCTGGATGAATGAGAGTTGATATGATAAATGTCAATTAAGTCACATTGTAACGAGAACTATCAGAGTGCAAAGTTTTGGAAACAACAGATGCCTGTCATTGTTAAGAAATAGCACAAATATCGGTGACACCTACCCCCGAGGTTAACTATTACAGAGACGCCCATCCTTCTGTTTTCAAAAATTGCAGAAACATCCCTCAATAAGCAAAAAAACAACTATGTAATTCCCCCAAATATGTTTTCTTATAGTAACTGATGCATTTGCAACGTTAGTATAATGGTCATGACTCATTTGACCTCATTTGGAAGTTCTGCCTTGAAAAATGATCTCTCATCCTGCTTGAATTTCTTGAGAGTTAGGATGGAGAGTGCCTAGAATAAAGTTGCTAATTGCTAGCACCTGCACTTGATCAATCTTGAATGGTGCAATTTCATATCTGACATTTAGTATCTTATTTGTGATTTGAAGCGGTCTTCCAGGAATTAAAGGGCTATGAACAAAAGATTTTCGGTTCAACAGAGAACAGCGTTTCCATGCCAAGCTTCTCACCTTCAAGCCTGCCATCCTTCAGCTTCGGCTTCCCAATGCCCAATGATCCACCAGTTCCTGTTCCTGTATTCAAAAACAGCGGTTCCACTTCAATTTTTTCCCACCAACCACATGACATTCCTCAGGAATTCAGCTTTGGAGCAGGGGGCACACGGGAAAAGACTTCTGGTGACATTACTACTTTCGACCCGAACACAAATATTTCTAACGATAACGATATTCCCATGGGTGGTTCTTGATAAAATTAGGTTTCATCATCATAGACCTCTATACAGTAACCATCAGTCCAAAGTCAAATGTTTCTTGACTACAAGTTTTACATGAAAGTTGGAAGTAAATTGGGTAATAGGCCTTCCATTTTATGGCTGTAACTGTGACACAGGAGTTTGACAGGTTGTGTTGAACACTGTATGTTGTAAGTACCCAGGATGATGATGCTCATTTCTAAGTTCATTACATTCAGATTAATTGATATTTGATTGACTGGTAAATTTGTGTTTTCCTCTACCAATAATCTCATTTTGTTTGATCATAATACGCAATTGTGGGTCAAATTTATTGTGTGATTAAATTAATTGTTGATTTTAACTTCAACTTCAACTTCAAATTTAGTAATTTTTAAAGTTTTCCCAAACAAGCACGTAAAAACACATTTTCAGGGACTATCAGATTTATTAGATGGGCTATTTGCAAGTAGTAGTGACGCATTTGATAATTAAGGGGTTCGTTGCTCCATAGTATGGGAATGATCACAGTTAATCAAACAAAGAACCAAGTCAGGCTACTGGTAACCTGCTAGTGGGCCAATCCACAAGGTAGCTGAGCTTAGGGTTCTTAACTGGGGTGAGTCCCAGCGTGAGTCAAGTAGTGAAATCAAACAAAGAACCAAGTCAGGCTACTGGTAACCTGCTAGTGGGCCAATCCACAAGGTAGCTGAGCTTAGGGTTCTTAACTGGGGTGAGTCCCAGCGTGAGTCAAGTAGTGAAATCATCGTGTGATCTGCTCGTACGAGTTGGCTCGTGAGCCAAGCGAGGTAGCTCACGCGTCGGCTTTGAGGGAAGGGAGGTGAAAATGTAATTTTCAATTTTTTACCCAAAAAGGTAATAAGAAAAATGTGAGTCGCGAGGTGACTAGGTTTATCCCACCAATGAGCAAGAAACCCAAAGTTTTTGGAAGTGAGTCAATTCATGCTCAGTTCACTCTATTTGTGAGCGCAAAGTGGCTCATCCAGTGGATTGAGTCGAGCTTGACAATAGACGAGCTTAGCATCTTGACCCAACCCAATTATCACCCCTTGCTGAGCTGGTAAGTAGATGAATAGATTCTTGTGGTAATTACTTAAAATAGTACTTTAAGTTTTTAAACTCCCAAAATCGCATTGGAAGTTTAATATTTCCAAAATCAGATTTTTTATTAATTAATATATTATTACTAAATAAAACATATGATTAAATTAAATTAATTTATAAACCAAATCCTAACTCCCTCCA